GGAAGAGGAGCACTTAAAACAACTGCAGAAGGACATCGATTTCTGGCCAAAAGGTAAGGCTATAGGCTTACAAAAAATGACGAAAACTCTTGGAAATTTTTCTTCATAAAATGGGATTGTAACTTTATATTTAGATCCCCAAATGCTATAAATCGTCAATAGTCATTAAGAGGGGAAAGAAGAGCACTTAAAACTGATTAAAAAAGGACATCAATTTCTGCCCAAAAAGTAAGGCTATAGGCTTACAAAAAATGACGAAAACTCTTGGAAATTTTTCTTCATCAAATGGGATTGTAGCTTTATATTTAGATCCCCAAATGCTCTAAATCGTCTATAGTCATTAGGAGGGAGATGAAAATCACTTAAAACTGATTAAAAAAGGACATCAATTTCTGCCCAAAAAGTAAGGCTATAGGCTTACAAAAAATGACGAAAACTCTTGGAAATTTTTCTTCATAAAATGGGATTGTAACTTTATATTTAGATTTCTAAATGCTATAAATCGTCTATAGTCATAAAGAGGTCAAGAAAAGCACTTAAAACTGATTAAAAAAGGACATCAATTTCTGCCCAAAAAGTAAGGCTATAGGCTTACAAAAAATGACGAAAACCCTTGGAAATTGTTCTTCATAAAATGGGATTGTAACTTTATATTTAGATTTCTAAATGCTATAAATCGTCTATAGTCATAAGGAGGGGGAAGAAAAGCACTTAAAACTGATTAAAAAAGGACATCAATTTCTGCCCAAAAAGTAAGGCTATAGGCTTACAAAAAATGACGATAACTCTTGGAAATTTTTCTTCATAAAATGGGATTGTAACTTTATATTTAGATTTCTAAATGCTATAAATCGTCTATAGTCATAAAGAGGGCAAGAAAAGCACTTAAAACTGATTAAAAAAGGACATCAATTTCTGCCCAAAAAGTAAGGCTATAGCCTTACAAAAAATGACGAAAACCCTTGGAAATTTTTCTTCATAGAATGGAATTGTAACTTTATATTTAGATCCCCAAATGCTATAAATCGTCTATAGTCATAAAGAGTGGGAAGAAAAGCACTTAAAACTGATTAAAAAAGGACATCAATTTCCTCCCAAAAAGCAAGGCTATAGGCTTACAAAAAATGACGATAACTCTTGGAAATTTTTCTTCATAAAATGGGATTGTAACTTTATATTTAGATTTCTAAATGCTATAAATCGTCTATAGTCATAAAGAGGTCAAGAAAAGCACTTAAAACTGATTAAAAAAGGACATCAATTTCTGCCCAAAAAGTAAGGCTATAGGCTTACAAAAAATGACGAAAACTCTTGGAAATTTTTCTTCACCAAATGGGATTGTAACTTTATATTTAGATCCCCAAATGCTCTAAATTGTCTATAGTCATTAGGAGGGAGATGAAAATCACTTAAAACTGATTAAAAAAGGACATCGATTTCTGCCCAAAAAGTAAGGCTATAGGCTTACAAAAAATGACGAAAACTCTTGGAAATTTTTCTTCATAAAATGGGATTGTAACTTTATATTTAGATCCCCAAATGCTATAAATCGTCTATAGTCATAAAGAGGGGGAAGAAAAGCACTTAAAACTGATTAAAAAAGGACATCAATTTCTGCCCAAAAAGTAAGGCTATAGGCTTACAAAAAATGACGAAAATTCTTGGAAATTTTTCTTCATAGAATGGGATTGTAACTTTATATTTAGATCCCCAAATGCTATAAATCGTCTATAGTCATAAGGAGGGGGAAGAAAAGCACTTAAAACTGATTAAAAAAGGACATCGATTTCTGCCCAAAAAGTAAGGCTATAGGCTTACCAAAAATGACGAAAACCCTTGGAATTTTTTCTTCATAAAATGGGATTGTAACTTTATATTTAGATCCCCAAATGCTATTAATCGTCTATAGTCATAAGGAGGGGGAAGAAAAGCACTTAAAACTGATTAAAAAAGACATCAATTTCTGCCCAAAAGGTAAGGCTATAGGCTTTCAAAAAATGACGAAAACTCTTGGAAATTGTTCTCCATAAAATGGGATTGTAACTTTATATTTAGATTTCTAAATGCTATAAATCGTCTATAGTCATAAGGAGGGGGAAGAAAAGCACTTAAAACTGATTAAAAAAGGACATCGATTTCTGCCCAAAAAGTAAGGCTATAGGCTTACAAAAAATGACGAAAACACTTGGAAATTTTTCTTCATAGAATGGGATTGTAACTTTATATTTAGATCCGCAAATGCTATAAATCGTCTATAGTCATAAAGAGGGGAAGAAAAGCACTTAAAACTGATTTAAAAAGGACATCAATTTCCTCCCAAAAAGTAAGGCTATAGGCTTACAAAAAATGACGAAAACACTTGGAAATTTTTCTTCATAGAATGGGATTGTAACTTTATATTTAGATCCCCAAATGCTATAAATCGTCTATAGTCATAAGGAGGGGGAAGAAAAGCACTTAAAACTGATTAAAAAAGGACATCGATTTCTGCCCAAAAAGTAAGGCTATAGGCTTACAAAAAATGACGAAAACCCTTGGAAATTTTTCTTCATAGAATGGGATTGTAACTTTATATTTAGATCCCCAAATGCTATAAATCGTCTATAGTCATAAAGAGGGGGAAGAGGAGCACTTAAAACAACTGCAGAAGGACATCGATTTCTGGCCAAAAGGTAAGGCTATAGGCTTACAAAAAATGACGAAAATTAATGAAAGTATTTCTCCTAAAAAGAAATTCGAACTTTATTTTTAGATTCCTAAATGCTTTAAATCGCGTTTAAAGAGATGGAATAAAATCACTGAAAACTGACTAAATAAGGATATCGATTTCTGGCCAAAAAGTAAGGCTACATGCTTGCAAAAAATGACGAAAATTCTTTGAAATTTTTCTTCGTAAAATAGGTAGGAACTTTATCTTTTGATGGCGAAATGCTTCAAATCGTGTTTAGTCATGAAAAAAAAGAGAAGCACTTAAAACAGATTGAAGAAGGACGTCGATTCCTAGATAAAAAGTCAGGCTATAGGCTTCCAAAAATGAAGAAATCTTATGAAACGTTTTCTTCTTAAAAAGAAATTGTAACTCGATTTTAAGGTCCCCAAATGCTTTAAATTATGTCTATTCCTAAAGAGATTGAAAAAAATCACTTACTACGGAGCACTAAAGTACATGGATTCCTAGCCAAAAAGTAAGTTTTTGAGCTTACAAAAATATACGAAATTTGACAGAAACTTTTTTCACTAAAATTTTTTGGTTTCCAACTACATTGAACGTATTTTTTTTATCCTCAGAATGTTTTCTTTCTGACAAAATGGAAGCAAAGACAGTGCAAAGTAGCAATGAAAGCATCCCAAAATGGGACAGTGGTTCAAAATGGCACACTGGCTAAATGTGACACAGTGGCTCTAAAGTGGCACAGTTTGGAAACATTAACTCCGACAGCCTTTTCGAGGCATTGCAGGGGACGACATGTGTGTTCCAGTGCCTATGGGCGAAAATTCTTTATATATATTCATTAATAAAAAACTAAGAAATTATATCATATATTATAAGAAACAAGGAATGAAAATGAGCGACAATGCATTGTTTTCTCTTAAAGATAATATTTCCAAATTATTTTGATACAAATTATGTGAACTTGCATCCCTACCCATTAAACTAAAATTATATTTATTCTTGGTAATAAAAAAGTTCCTTTGATCAGAATTGTCTTACTTTATATTGCATGTGTAATTTTGTACTTCGAGCCGCTACGAAACAACTACTGTCACAAAATGTAACAACCATATTGACCTTAATTTGAATCTGTCAAAACATCACATTCCGTTAGGCCATAATTTTTAGCACCTTTGTGTTACGTTAGTTGCTCTCGCTTCCAAACAATAACTGTTCCCTATAAAATAAACAAACCAGATTACAGAATGACATGAAATGACAAGAACAAACAAAACACTAATGAAAAATTACAGAGCTAAAGGAGTACCAAAATGTGACGTCATTGCACTGAAAGCACTCAATTTGCACAAGGACAAAAGCAAGAATTTTTTCTGTTGGGGAGATAAGTGTCTTCTTTCGAGAAAGCATGGATCATTTGTGCTAGTTCAGTTTTGGAAAAGATCCAAACCTAGGGGACGGATCAAAGAATTTGCGGTACTTTATATTTAAAGTTTATAAATAATGTTTCCACTAAATTTGGATCAAAGAACCGATTGTGTGATGGTGTCAAGACAGGCATTTCAAATTGGAGAGGGCGTTGCTATTTTAAAATCGAATGCGAAATACGTTTAATTGTCTATTTAAGAGAAAAAAGTATCTTTTGTGTCTAATCCTTTTACGTACGGAAGAATCGAATTCTAGATTATATTTGCAAGACTGACAGTCTATTCTTTTGACTCATTAATAGAGCAACAAAACATGGCAAAAAGTTAATATGAAAAAGAACTACAAACTCCAGGGACTAATATTGAAGGCAGAACCAAATGCGTTGCATCAAACTTGTCAAAGATAGATTTTCTAAAATGATTTGAGATCTAGAACTATATAACCGGGGTATTAAGTTTAAATGTAGAAAAGCTGCAACGAAATAGTCGCTTGGTCTTATGGCACGTTTCGTTCAGCAATATAATTGTTCAAACTAGGTTTTCCACTGCTGGGGCGAATATATATCTTAGAATTGATTGCAGGAAACATATTGATACATAAAAGATTAAATAAATGTTAAGCAAAAAGCTTACCTCAGTATCACAAGACGCTAGCTGGCTTTCATCATAATTCCAACAGACATCTAAGACAGGAGCCGAGTGGCCTAACAACTTGTTTAAACATCGCTGATCTGCACGTTCGACGTTATAAAAATACACCGCCATATCTTCACTTGCAGTTACTAAAAACAAATTCAAAGATAAATGAATTAAAGCATGAGCAATTTCATCATCTTCAGAACTTTGCCTAGCATGGACAAAAATCTATCAAAATATCATCTCAAATGAAAACTTAGCCTTCAATTTTGTCGTGCAAATAAAAATCTAAGCATCTGCATCGGTCCCAATTATCGTAAGCCAAATTTTGTTAGTCTAATTTCAAGTATTATTAAAAAAGATTAACACATTGCCTTCTTGGTCCTATTTAAAGAGATTTGGACTTTTTTAAAACCGAGAGTGTCAATAAAAAGGATAAAAAATTGACGCAGAAGTATAATATATATATATTTATTTCAATAGCTTTTGGGTTTTTGCATGTTTAGCCCTTCTCCCAAAAAAAAAAATCTTTACAGCCCTTCTTAATCCGTAATATGTTTCGCCGTCCCTTATTACAATAGAATAGCTAACAAATTTACGAATATGGGCCTGACAAATCAAGGAAGTGGTTGCAAGCATGACTTTCAACTTCTAGTTCTTAGAGTCACTGTTTCTTGGTGCATTTCCTCAAAGTTTTGTTCGCTTATTATTTATCTAGCTCTCAATTAATGTAACAAGATGCTGAATCTACCAACCATTTCTTTGTCAAATATTCCCTTTGGTTTTAAAGTATACTGAAAATCTCCCTCAAGCCCACTGCGAAATGTTCTAACGCGTAGATGAAAAAATCTTTAAATGCATACCAACACAAGCGCCTTTTCGGAGTGACATCAGCGGACAAAACGAAGATCGAATCATGTGTTTTTTATGATGAACTGGGAAGGATGACTTTAGTTGCAGACTGCCATCGCTGCTAGTGATTCTGAAAATGGAAAATGAGATCAAAATCATATTTCCACTTTGTAGTTGCAACTGGGATTTTATTCTTGAAAAATGTATTAAAATTACGAGCTACGTGAATGGAATACCAAAATTGTTAGGTGAGTGCTGGAAGGTATTCCCCTTAGCCGTTAAAGGCCTTTTTTCTTGTAACTTTTACCCGGGAGACCACAATCCCAGTAACTGACAACAAACAGAAAGAATAAGAAATAAAAAGAACAGATAATTACCCATAAAGATATAGACGGTTGTTCATGCAATTGATTAACAGTGACGGGTCACGTGCCTCTCGACTTATCCATGTGCGACAAGATATTGACGTCACAGGGCATCCATCCGCAATAATTATTCTGAAACATCAAAATCAAAATGGGTTATGATCGGCTGACATATTGGAAACCTAACAACCGCATGTGCATGTTCGATAACAATCTTGATAAGATACTGCGTAGCAAAGTATGTATGAATTTGTGCTATCTGTTAAGGGGCCACCCCCCTGCAAAGCCCGGCCCCTAAACGAGAAGGAAGAGTTTCCTTATTAAGATATTTAAGGACAAGAGGCTTGAAAGGCAGGGGGCTCGATCTGCAGAAGGTTTAAGATGCAAGAGGATTTGTAATCTAGAAAAGAAATTACAGCGCCTGCATTGACACTAACGGCTTTAGGCAGGTACTAAATAAAGTATTACCTACTTTACGCCCTTTTGCGACTGAAAAAAATCCTTTTTTTATTTCCATCTTCAAGAAGTTCCGGTTTTTCTATATAATTTTCAATCGACAACAATCTCCTCAATTTGCCGAAAAATCATTTCAGCCTTAAGGATAGTTGAAATTTCAAATAATAGGGTAAAAGTGAAATAATAGGGTAAAAGTGAAATATTGGTTTAAAAAGCCTATTAAACTTATAGCCTACCTCCTTGTTCGTTGGAGCTTGCCTAGCATGTTGATCGAAAAAGCAAAAACCGAGCCCTAAAATGAAGTGAAATCTGAATTAAATAACACAAAAAAAGGAAGGCGTTAACAATCTAAAAAAGTAATGCTACAATAACGATAGTGACTCGTTCAATGTGAAGAAATACTTTACATCATAAACACCTCATGAAATAAAAAAGGACTTGATGCTGTCAAAACTTTGATACAAACGACAAGATTCATAGAACTGTGAGACGCATGTAAGAAATTGTTTAATCTTAATGCAGTTATTTTCTTTTTGACTTTCATCATCTGTCCAACACTATAGGTTCAAATGTGCAATATGTTATAATTGAAATTAACAGGGTAAAACGTGCTACTCATTACAATATTTCGCATAACGTTGAATCAAAACATGAAAAAGGATAGGCCAAAGGGCACCTATATATGCTAGATGAAAAAACGAAAAAAATACAAAAGGATTTTTTAAAGATATTTTTCGTTTCTCCTGTATAGCTCAACCTCAGACACCCCCCCTCCTTTTCCTTCTCCCACACTCTGCAGCACAACTCGTAGTTTAACATAAAAAGACATTTTGTGAACGAAAGGTAATAAGACGCTATGACGCTTCGAGCATAAATCTACATAGGGTAAAGAGTTAGTAAAACACAAATATTGCGTTCTTCGTAACCAGTATTTCATTTTTAAATCTGATTTACCTTATCATCTCCGCTCCACAGAATATTCCCCGATGTGTCAAATTCCAGAGCACGCACAGGGCCTAAGGCTTTGGCACTTCCACCCTAAAAAGAAAGATATATTTTCACATTAAGACTTTCCCTGAAAATTAAATAATGATTCAGAAAAACATGAGTATGTTACTTTTTGACACTTTAAAATATTAAAACTATTGACATTTTAAAACATATTAAAACTGTGGCTAAAAGTTGCTTATTTGACATAAATCTGATATAAGAAATCAGAGAAAAAAATCTAATTGGCCCATGAAAACAGGAGTCTCTATATACGATGTATTAAACATTAAATATTCTTGAAAAGGTCAAATCATTTGTGTTACCAATAACCAATACTCTTAAGTCGTTCCCCTGGGCTTCCATTTCTTCGAAAGTTCGCCTATTTTTACTGCCTTATGGGAATTCTTCTCTCAAATATCAAATTCCCTGGGGTTCTTTCCATTAAAAATTCTAAACTATTTTTTACCAACTACCAATAATTTTTAGATAATACAGAACCAAATAATGTCTCAAACTGGCATTTTCCTGTGTTTAGATTGCCATTTCATTTACATTTAGGAAAATCTTTACACGAGAATCTTTATGCTTTTTAAGAAGGATCAAAAATCCAAAATAAAGGAATTTTTTAAAAAGTAAAATGTCTAGGACCAGGGGCGGCGGGCAGTGTTATTACCGTTATTACTGTAATAACACTTTTTCCAGTCTTTATCAGTTTGGCGCATTCGTCTGCTAGACACAACCAATGACGTATGGTATTTGTCCTCTATTCATCTGGAGGGGATGATAATTACCTGCTAATCCTTAACCACAGGAAGCCTATTATGTTTTTCAATGGTATTTCAAAATCGTTCAAAGCTAGTTCGAGACTCCCGGTCTCATTATTACTTTCGCGTTTCTAATAACGGAAACAGCAAAGTCTTTGTCACGGGACTCACCGATGACGTAAAATTCAATTGTTCTTGGTCCTTGAAATAAAGGAGCCTAGCAGCCCCGTTATTACTTCTGGGGTTCTAATAACGCGGCCATTTACCTTTTGCCAGTGCTGTTTTATGATTTTGCTTGTAAGTTAGCTGTTTCAAAATGAATCGTTTTGTGAAAGATCAAGTGAATGACCATCGTCTGGGTGTTCAAAGTGTTATTATTTTGTATCTCTAATTATTTTGAAACAGGTGGAATTAACTCAATAGCAACGTCTCGAACTGAAAGACCGTGCCAGATATATCTCGTCATGTATTTTTCTATAATAAATTTTTAGCCTGCATCCTTTCAAATTTTATTTGTACATTTGTAAACTGTAGCTATTCAAAATGTTGCAAGTTGCTTATGTAAAGGCATTTGAAATGAATGATGAACTGAACTGAACCTTGAATGTGTTCAGAGGGCTTTCACGCAGTGGTTTCCGTTATTACAATCGCGATTCTAATAACGGGCCCACATGGTGGCTCAGAGGAAGGGGCCGCCAAATATTTTTCACGACTAATCATCACTCGAAAGCCCTTCAGAAAAATGTTACGGCCCTCCAGTTTGTTCAAAAAGACCAACAGGAAATCAGGCTCTTCATAGATTTCTTTTTGAAATGCTAGCAAGGAAGTATCTGCATTTATTTTCTAGGAGATACAGCACTAAAATTGCCAATTAACTTAAAACTTTCAGCATTCGCTCAGATTCTTAGTTGCTTACAAAAATGTGTATACCCGACCAATTTATGTCTTTTAGTGACTTTTTGTTTGTTGTTTAGAGTCAATTGAAGATATGCATACGTATAGCTGGGCCAAATGGGGGGGGGGGGGATGTTGCAAAGCCCCTATACCCCTCCAGCTGAGGAGGTTCAAAATTCCTTCATAAAGAAATTGTTAATTTTCCTTTTTCATGCATTTTCCATACGTTTGAAAAAGTAATACCAAAAAAAATTTACTCCCAGCCGCCCCTGTCTAGGACTATAAAAAAGTTCGTTCTTTTGCCAAAAGGCCTTGCTCTCCTGGAGGATTGCAGATTTTACAAAAAGAGCCACGAAAACTTCCGTTAATTTAATAATGTTGCAGACTGCTTTATCATCAACCGGCAAACAAAATTCCTAGGGTTTTCGACCTTAATAGCCCTTATCTGCAAAACTTTTTAGAATTATGAAAGAGACTTTTTCTGTAATAAAAATTCATGAATAACTCTATACAGAATATAAATCTAGCAGTTTATGTTTTACGAATGCTACTTGCCTTTGCACATTTTCCAGTTGACATGTTGAAGACTTGGACGTAGCCTTTTTTATTTCCGGTCTATTTATCATCAAGGCAACCTATTATTACGCAGATTCTATACATTTATCAATCAGAATACAAAATATTGATAAGAGCTTTGTTGTTTTTAAGTATAACTACTTATTAGTTTAAACTGTTTTGTAGATAGTATTGGCCATAATACCATCCTGTTCATTAAGATTATCATGAATATAGAACCACAAATCACAGCCCTACTATTTGTGGTAAATTGAGGGAACCGACAGAACAAAACGCCTATCCTACATAAGATTTGCTAAAAAATTCCATTGCTTAGACCGTTCAATCTGTGTTACGAAAAATCTGTTACAGTCTGAAACAAATATAACATAATAGGCCGTTTTTGTGGAGGCTAACTTGTTAGCTGCAGTCAACCAAGATCACGCATAATAGAGTAGCCTGTAAATTGAAACACTTTACACTTTAACCACAGCAATCATGTTTTTGGTCTCTGTAAGAACATTTTGACCCCAAATCGAGAAATGGTTAAATGATCTGCATGGAAAGAGCCGAAAAACGACCTCTCGCAGATTTATTCAAGAAAAAGATTTTCATAAGATGATATCGCCTTTTGTAGACAATATAGGGGCAATACAGATATTGTGAAGCCGAAATTTTCAGCTCATTTTCGATGCCTTCAGAGGCAAAAAAGGGAGATGAAATTACGCAATCTAATGATTTCAGATAAAAAGGATACAACAATGATATTGTTATTGAGAGGAACAAATCGACAAGATAGGACCGCGGCATCGTATGTGTCTGGGAGAACGCGCACGTTTTGACCAGATGAACTGTCCCACACTCGTGCTGTTCCATCCAGCGATGCAGACACGATAAAATCGTTGGATAACGACCAGTCGAAATCTGCAATCAAAAAAGGCAGCTACTTAACGAATGGCAAAATTCAAAACAACGTGCAAAAGAATAGACAGAAAACATCAAAATGCGTAAAAATGGAAAAAGAAGGCCGTGGTTTGCCTGTATATGCAACATTTTATCATACTTTGAGACATAAAACTTTGAGACAGATCTGAACAACTTTGGAAAACCGGTGGCTAGAATATGACTTTATTTGTTCTTTTTGAGCTAAAAACATTTACCAAAGCTCATTATCAACGTACAGGGCCAAAGCAAAGACCAATCTTAATTTCAAAAAATTTCTTACGTCAAGAAATTTCAGATTTAAAACAAATCATCCACTGATAATCAGGCAAAATTATCTCAAATGCTGAATTCAAAGAAAGAAAGCAAATATATTGACTTCAATTGTACTGTACTACATATTGTATTTGCTTATAGATTTCTACCGAAAACGCACAGATTTTATTGCCAATTCAAACCGTATTCTGATTCTGAATGTCATTTTCTGTGATAACTTGTGAACAGAATTTTTGCCCAAACTCTGTTAGAATATAAAGAGGACCTATAAACTGCTCATTTAATCACAAGGGTCTTAATCTCACAGACGATGAAAATATCTACCAAATATTACCCACTAGCTTAGTGCCCGTTACTTAAAAGAACTTTTGGCCTACAAGACCATCAAGAGACTTTGCCTGGAGAATATAAATATTAAAAGTTACATCTATATCAAGTACATATTTGACATACTTACCCATGACTCCTTTCGAGTGTCCTCGTAACATGCACGTGACTGAAGGTGGCGATGTGCTAAGGTTGCAGATTGAAAGCGTACCATCCATGGAACTGCAGACCAGCCTAAATTTATCGTTGTGTCCAAATTTAATTCCTGTAACTGCAAAAGAAAATTTTATCTCCTTAACTTAAAAAATCCTCTAGTAAATCGATGATTGTTTTATGCATAAAATGTCTAAATGCCAACATCATTATCTTATCATACAACTGTCAAAAATGAATACAAAGTCCCTCTACCAAACCGCTCCGAGTAATTAAAATACCGCGATACTTCCAGGAACATGACAACTGAATATTTTAACACTTACAAAGAGAAAGGTTTAACAGTCGCCCGATGTTAGCGTTAAATGTAAAATTAGGAGTTACAACTGAACACCCACTTGAAACAAGCCCCGTGATATCTGTCCCCGGTGGAAAATTTCCAGACAGGGGAGTCCCTATCAGAAAATCGGATGTACCGGGCGTTCCCCAGCGTTCCCCCACGTCTCCAACAAGATATTTTTTGCACCCAGCCAATCTTAACAACACCTCATTGCCTACCATTCCTCGACAAATTTGCTTCAAAATTTGCTCAGGATTGTGAAATTTCTAATTTCTATGTTATCCAACTTTCAGATTTCTAGTTTTGATGTAAACATTTACTTAACACCGGCTGCAGATGCGGTTTAAGTGAAACGCAAAATTGTGCAATATCTAAACTATTTTAATCTAAACAACATTTCTCAACTATGTAACCCCATATCTCTTTACTAAGCTATTTACCCTCCCACTTTGTTATCCTTTTCCGCTAACCTAACCTACAAGGCAAGGTCTTAAAACTAGCAAATTGCAATGCAAAACCCTACTTAGATTGCTTCCCAAGCGAAAATCTCTCACACAAATGTCTACTTTAAAGACAGTCTCTCACACAAATTTTACAGAAGATCTTTCTGAGAATTCAAACAACTTACCGGCGTCCCCATGCTGGTCAAAGATATGAGACATTCCAGCAAACGCATAGTTTTCGCTTAATGATGTATTTCCAGCCATTGCCCTGCAAAAAAGTGAATTGGAGTACATATTTCCATCAAGTGACTGAAAGAAGAAGCAGTCGGCTGAATACTCAAATCAAGGATACTTCTGATCACATAGGGTTTATGGTGGCCTCTGCTCCAGACCCCCGCACAGGCTAGGTTTATGGCTTAGAAAAGTGGTTTAATGAAAATGTGCGAGGTAACATTAAAAACACTAGTCGTCTTTCCTACATCAATATATGAGTACAAGACCTCAACATGCTAGATCTTGAAGTAGATGGACAGCACTTGTCTCTAAAAGGCAGATCATCACCACATGTCTTGTTTTAGACACTGATAAGAAAGGTGCACTAGACCCAACTACAGGCCTTACGGAACAAATTTCTACTGGCTTTTCAGAACAGCACGCCTGTGATCAGAACAAATTGCCCGCCGGGGTATACCTGAACGCCAGGCTGCCTTAAAAAAGACAGACAGTGTCTAGGTTCCCCTTTCCTACGTTTAATATCGCCATCTGCTAGCCATCTTAATTGCCAATGAAAAACCGAATAAAAAACACCTCGTTGTGAATGATTCTTTAAGGGTCATTTTCCCCTTTTTTAGGTAAAAAAAGTTGAAGCTAGGCTTTTGAAATGACGAGAACAGCTCTGTAATGCCAAGTCTCTGTAAAAAATCCCTAGAAGTGATTTCGATTGGTCGAGATCTAGCTTGAAATTCGATTGCTCATTTGCTGACTACTACACGTTCCTAGATTCTAATTAACTAACAAGAGTCATAACGAAAATTTTGTGAGTTGTTTTCTATTTCCAATACTTTCTGCGTCTGAGCTTAACTTTTTCTGTCTTCTTCATTTTCTGTCTTCAAAAAAAATTAATCTGTTACAATCACAGCAATAAACTAAGACGGTAGTAGCTCTGGGTTAGTAGCACCAAGTTTTGCACCTACAACTTAACATAAAATGTGTTCCTAAATTTTTAAAAGTTTGGAGATAACATAGCGTTTCTGCTGACGGTAAATATACAGGGGGTCGCACATGTCGACGAAAGAGCTGCAAGGGTTTCCAAAAATGCCAGGTGTACTGATGGAAAGATCTACAAAATCTGATTTGAGCGTGGTAAATTCGAAGATTTCTTTTTGTACTGCAGTCGTTAAAGTATAAAACTTAAAGACAGTTCCTCATGGTTCTGAGGAGTAAGTCAGGATCTAGTTGATCGCAAGTAATGATAGAAGGGGGAAAGCCTGATAAATCTGCGTAGAGAAAAGATCCATTTAATGCTTTGAAGGAAGTAGCTAGAAAGTTTATTGCAGAATTCTGACGCCATGTTTATTGGTCTAGGTCGTTGGAAGAGCTTTGAAAGACGAGAGAGTTCAAAGTCTGATGCTGAAATGGGCTTTCATTAAACGGATCTGTTCGATTATACATCTCGAAGGCACAACTTTAAATACGGCTTTAAGTAACCAAAAGCCTATGCAGGGAGTGGCTAGCGGGGGATGAAGAGGTGTGACACCTTAAAATTCTTCATCAGTTGGTCGGAAAATCTTCAGTCGTTCCACAAAATCCTTAGTTGGTCGATAAAACGCCCTCTCGGTAGATTAAATAGCACCCAAATCTTTTCATAGATGTCTTGGTCGGTAAACATTACATCTGATGACCCTCCTCCCCCTAGTATGGAAAGTCAAGTTAGATACAGTACTTCTGGTATGCAAAACTTCTAACTATACCTGCTGGCTGCTGCATCTGTGGTTGGGATAACACCTTCTTTCTTTTCGTCAGCCATTTGCTCATTCTTGTACACGAAACCAAAGGAGCTTCCACTGCCGAACCCTGTGCTACCGAATCGCCGGTGTGTGGGGCGGAATTCATGTGGCGATGAAGGATCGATATGGAGATTATCAAAACTGGCCTAAAATCAAAAAGAAGGCCCTTGTAGATTTTTGCTTGAAATCTGTATACTGAAGGTAATCAAAGTAAAGAGAAGCGAGTGGGGTCAAAGGGTGCTGGGAAAATGGGGGTGTTGGGGAAAAGGGTGTGTTGAAGGAAGAGGGGATGTTGGGGAAGATGGAATGTTGGGAAAAGCGGATTGGCAAAAACTTCTACCTAAAAACACTGCTTCAGGTTGGTTTGTAGGGTTACGTGATTCAAAAACAGCTATCCTATTTCTAAGTCTCTGCCAGTCTGAGCATAGAGGGGGCTTTCTGCTTTTGTTGGTTGTTATTCGATTTTTTATACTGGAAATGCACAAAAAGTTTAAATTTTCAAGTGTATAACGCAGAAACCACAATATATGATGGTCAGATCGCAAAAACTAAATTAGGAAGGCAATTCAAAACGAAAAATGTCAAAGTGCCACAGCAAAACCCCAATTTCTTTCTTCGCTTCTAGAAGGATGTTGATAGTTCCAAGGTTTTTTAACGGAAAAAAGACAATTACCAAAGGGCTATTCTACGGAATTTATTGTAAGCAAGAAAAATAAGAAGATTAACATCGTTTTCATAATGATCATTCGATCAATGAAATATCCGTTCACCTCAATAGAACTTGTTCTGCTTCTTAAACTGCTCCTGAAATTAGAGACAAAAAAAAATTACCTTCAAAAAGCTTGAAAGCAGTTATTGAATTTACCTTCAAAAAGGTTGATATTTGTTATTGAACGTATTAAGAAAATATTAAAAAAATTTAAATGAGTTCTTTCTTTTTCTAAACTCTAATTAAAACCACTTCCTAGCCAGAAATTAGCTCTTCTGTGTTTCCCTGGAAACATGATTGCATTCCTTCCTTTCAAAACAATGGTGTTCTGAAAAAAGAATGAATGAAACAATGGAATATATCACCTTATACACACCGAGGGGCAAATCACTCCAAGAAAATCTCGTACACCTTTTGTGAAAACCCAATTGTTTTATCTGAAAATATCTAGAAATCCTTTTGTTTTAGGGAAAATCTCGTACGCTATTTGAAAGAGTGAACTGCCCCTCGATACACACCACATATATGCACGATATTTATGCCTGATGCACGATTAGCATCAGATTTTCATGAAAGCCTAAATCATGCAGAGTAAAGAAGCGATGCTAACATATTCAGAGTAGGTTATGAATTGATTGATGGTTAATTAGGAATTCTGATGGCATGTATGTGACCTTGGTCACAGTACATTTTGCAATCATCAACAGCGTGCAGAAGTGTTCTGGAAGAAGAAAGAATTCAAAACCTAATGCTCAGTTAGGCCTTCATCTGAACAGATTTGTTCGATTACACAGCTCAAAGGCACATTCATGGCTTTAAGTAACCAAAGTCTATGCAGGGGGTAGCTAGCAGGAGATAAAGAGGGTGTGACTCCCTCAAACTCTTCATCAGTTGGTCGGCAAATCTTCAGTTGTTCCACAAAATCCTTAGTTGGTCAGTAAAACGCTCTATCAGTAGGTAAAATAGCACCCAAATTCTTTCACCTTTATTTCGGAGTTAAGAAGAGATGCTACCATATTCATAGTAGTTTATGCAACACCATGACTCTGTATTTTCTGCATGTAAACAAGACCTAATGAAACCATAAAAACAACACTCAACCTGATTCAAGAAACAGCATCACAGTCATCAATTTCCCTGTAAGTCTACCAGTATCAATCTGGGCAAAGACCCATTGTGATACAAATGGTCTATTTCAAACAAAGTCTTTGCCATAAAGACTACATCCTGATCCACACCAGGTAACTAAAGACAAAATTACACTATCATCTTCAGGTACAATTTGCTTCACATTTCTTCAGTGATGATGAACAACGAGAGAATGTGATAGCGTAAAGTGCTTTAAAAAAATTGTCTGTAGTTTCTCATAGACCATTCTTAATCCTTCTTGCAGAATTTCAATTTGATCACTGATATAGCCCTTTCTTCAAGTTTTTCAAAGAGGCCTACAGTGGCACTTTTTCAGCTTACAAAAACAACACACAAGTAACTTTCAACGTGCTTTGCATTATCATATTCTCTCATTGTTTGTCACCACAGAAGAAATATGAAACAAATTGTACCTGAGAATGATAGTGTAATGTGGCCTTATGGAAGTTGCTATTTAATATTAAGTCTCATAATAACTGACCTCACACTTCCAGCTACAGAGATAGGACCATATTTCCTTGCCAGCAATTGTTTTCTCAAACCAAAGTACTTTCTTCTTATGCTTGGATCTTTCTGTTGAGAAAACATTAGATTGAAGATTTGGTTCAAAATGCCATTTAGATATAAGATTGACGACAATATGTCTTGTATCTGTAGGAACCAGTAGAGTTCAAAAGTGGTGGTAATGTCACAAAAAACCTATGTTTAGAAGTTTTAAATTTGCATCACATAACTTGAAATAACCCATTGAAAAAACTCTAGCTATGCAAATAAGTGAAACATAATAAAAAATTGGCCAATGAAAGATTGAAGTTGTTTAACAAATTACTGCTATATTAGGTTGCTTCATAAAGTTATGAACATAGAAAAATAACAGCAGTTTGATTGGGAAAGACTCTCTGTTCATGTGGCAGTACCTCAGCTAATTTGTAGCACATTTAACTGACTTGTCACAATATAAGGTATCCCATTATGTTTGTTGTATGTTGTCAAAAGTGTAAAAACTAAAAAAATAGCTTTTCATGATCATTGTCTAATTTCACAGACTATCTAAAATTTAGAAGCTTGTGAGTCTATGGAAACAGGTCAGATGTTTGGAACATTTAGCAATTTGGGATGGAAATTCTGCTGAAGTATACATTGATGTTTGAAGGTCTGCTTCTCTTCTCTTATTAACCTGACAAGCAGGCAAGATACATAATGAGATTAACACTAGATTTGGAATTTTGGAAAAGGAATGGCAATTTGAGAGCCAGCAGATAAGAAACATATCATTAATACATAAAGAGGGTTTTGTGAGATCAGTTTTAAAAAATACAAGATAACAGCACTTTCTAAATAATTTATATGTCATTTGGAAACTATTCCCAAAAACTGTTATTAGTATTTATTACCTGATTAAACTGTGAAAGTATAGAGATGGATTTCATTGTATAGACTAACGATCTCCCCTACAGCTCAAAAATAACTTATTTTCATCTTATTGCCATCTAGAAACAAGCAGCTTGCAAACCGGCCCCTTTAGTAAACAAGCATGACCAAATAAGACCTAAATAAGAATTGTAGTTGGCCTGAATGGCAACAGTATATTTAATCAATTGCTTTGAAAGCAAATACGTTCTTGAACATGATTTTTTTCTTGGAATGGCGATGCTTCACCTCTGTGTAAACCAGAGTGCAAACTATTTGTTTGTGCACTGGGAATTATTTTCTGTCGCCAACGCTTGCGCGGGAACAAATCATGTTGCAAAATGACAGGTTAAAAGCTGCAGGATTTCATTTTTAAATAGTATTTTTAGGGCTCGAGATTACACTATGAGCGGAATTCACACGAAAGTCCATGTTCTAACTGCTCTGATTAATCTAAATTTGCAAAAATGCACGGACAGGATTTGAGCAAAAAATTATTGCGTGGGGATTGCATACCCAAACTTTGCAGTCTGGTGTGTAAATACCAATCTCATCAACTGCAAACACATGTGGTTATAAATTTCCAATGTTCATCCCTGGCACACCCATGATACAAGCTCAAGAGTTATTTTAAGTGCATAATAATTATAATACTTTATATGAACAAAAACTACAAACCTCTTTCAGTGCTTTTTCATTTAATAATTGTGTTCTTCTCTTAAGGTAAAGTGTTCCTTTGAAAAATACAATGTTAAAATGATTCAGTTGCAGGCAGCAATGGCAATAATAATTTTTTTAAGAAGATATCACAATGGATCAGTGAAGTGGGCAAGCAATAACTCAATATATCTGCTGTCTTAACTTTTACTTTGAAACTTATTAGCTCCACCAGGGCTTTTGGTTGTGAATGAATGACCCTCTGCTAAATAAGCTATTTCATTAAATAAACCCCATTCTTAAGTCACCCTCTCAATATCTTTGTTTAACTGTAATATATTACTTGGCTTGTAGACTTTGCAGCATTTAATAACCTGTTGCAATTACACCAACTGCTTTCTTTAATCTCCTTTATTTCATTACCTTTTTATCTTTTAAAATTTACCTCAAACTTTACATAAAGTCTTCCCTGTCATGGTCTCTCTAAGATTTTTTATGGTCGATTCAAAGAACCTTTTTATGAACATAACAAGGTTATTAATATTTTAATGGGTGTCAGGTCACAGAGATACTTGAACAATACAGAGCAGAAATAAAACATAAATTCAACAATTTATGTGTCCATGGTTGTCTTTGTTTGCAGCTTATTATAACTTGCATTAATTCGTTTCCGAACTCGGTAATTAAACTTCGTGATTATACTCATTTTGAACCATAATTAAATTTCCCTAGTAATGAAATAACATCAAGAGAATCCTATCATACTTTATTTATCACTATAGTTTTAGGCTATCATTTCAATAAATGAATTTTCAGCGATCACATTTCACTCAGTTTATCACAAGTTACTTAACAAAGTTTGTTCCTGGATGGGCCTAAGGATAGGATAATGTTGACCGCCAAATACTTACGCAGCTGTGGGTTGTTGGATGACCTGTAAGTGTTATATCTTGTGTCGATCGCTAATATCTGCTGTGCAGTATTCATACGGATGCCCTACGGTTTGAGAAGAAGTAAGGCAATTCCAAAGGTTGAAAAGCGGAATTCTACACCATTGCCATTTCACTTATCTTCTCTCCACGAACTTCTGCGACCTCGACTTGGATGGAGTGCACCTTCGCAGCATCAACCGGCAAGGTGCTTACAGAAACGATTTAGGGACACTCACTGATTGGAACACTGGCTCGTAAAATCGACAATTCTTGGGGAAAAACATAAACGTGCCACCATTCCCAAACAGAAGTACGTGCCTCCTAACATTGAGGAACAGAAAAGTTCAATTTTTAGCTCACATTGGTTCCCCTTGTTGCCCACTTAAAATAACTTGTTTCTTTAATCGATAACCTTCGGTGTGGCTTGCAAAGAAGAAAGCAAAAAATTCGGTAGATTTATGTTCATGGCCATTCCAGTTCCAGAATTTAAGGTTACTTTTCTTAAGTTACCTTAAATTCTGCCTAAAAATATTAAAAACTCTTATGCACTAAAAATATGGTTTGCTTTCATTTTATTCACCAAATTAATTAAAAATGAGATGATATACATTTAGGGGCCCTATATGGAAATGAATATGGATATGAAAGTATTGTAACGGTTTCCGCAGTAAGAAAGGTGTGAGAAATTAAGGATTTCAAAATCGCATGAAAGGGGAAAACCTGTAATAGCATGCAGATATTTGCATCGAATTTTTGGTGAGCAATTAAATATCCAGCCACAACCTCCATTCAGAAGTTCACTTTTCTTAGTCCTGCATTATCGTCTCGCATTTTTTAATCTGCATTATTTTGATTTGAAGTTGTATCTGACAGAAAGTTTCATTACACTGCACCTGGCAAGCTACACATTTCATTGCGAAAAATGGTCCTCAATCAATGGCGGCACCAAGGGGGTTTGGGGGGTACCCCCCCCCCCCCCCCCC